ACTTGATCAGCTGAATCTAATCGATAAAAAGAGACTTACTGCTATATGTCATGGTCAGACGTATCAATAACAAATGATCAAGGATTTTAACAAGAAAGTCAGGCGTCAAGAATATCAAGTCGGGGATCTAGTGATCAAACGCATCATACTACCGCAAGGTGATCCCAAGGGCAAATGGACCCCCACATACGAAGGGCCATTTGTGGTTAAGAACTTTTTCTGGGGAGGATACTACGCATAATCAAAGACCCTCTAGGTTGACTGGAATAGGAAAAAAAAAAGGGCTTCTCGGCGAACCAAAAGGGTTCAGGCAAAAGTAAGGGATGAAAACAAAAAAAATTGTACACCCGGCAAGTCGAAAACTTGAAAAGGCGGCTTGGGCAAAAAAGGGTATCCCGGTGGACTGAAAACCCGAAAGGGCGGTCCAGGAAAATGTTAGGGATTGAAGCGTAACACTATGTCTCATTGGATCATCTTGTAACCAGACTTCGGTAGCGGCTATCAAGCTCGGACGGCGCCAATCAATCTGATCCATCTTCGAACAAAGCAACAAAGTGATGAGACGCTTGAAGATATAAAGGCAATAGCAGAGTTGAAACCCGAAGGGATTGTTCCACATAACTGTTTTTCTTTCTTTAACACAAATTGTAATTCCTATCTTCTGGCGGCGTTCTCTTACTAGGACGTCAACCTCTTGTACAAAACGCCTATTACAGGCCAACTTCAAAATCAATACAAGTCATTTTCACAAAGCTATGATTTGTTTTCTTTTTTGTGTTTTGTTTTGCAAGAACGTCCAATAATTTATTTTCGATATGTGTATTTAAACATAATTGCTGCTCATAAATATTTACATGAGAAATAAAAGATGATTACTCGTAATGCCAGAAATAGGGAAAACAAGAAGTGTCCTAACCTTACAGTTACTCTTCCCATCAGGTACATGGATAGAGTCAGCTTGAGAACATGAGTAGTGGTACATACACTCCCCACGGAGTAAAAAGTATCCAAGGACAATGATGTTAGCTTTCTTGGACAAGACATAACTCTCCCTCAGCTAAGGTTCACAATCGCGAGTGAGTTAGTAAATTTTCCCCAAGCAGAGTTTATTTCTCTCACAAGCAGAAATTCAATCTCCAGCAGAATTCATTATTACCAGCAATAAAAAATCATCCCCAAGCAGAGTTTATTTCTCTCACAAGCAGAAATTCAATCTCCATCAGAATTCAATATTACCAGCAACAAAAATTCATCCCCAGCTGAGTTTATTTCTCCAAATCAGCGGATCTATCAACAGAGTATCTCCTCTCCAACAGAGTCATTCTCCGCAGAGTCATCCGTAAACAAGAGGCAAATTCCCAGCATAAGTCATCTCTGTTCACCATCCCCAACAGAAGTGGAGAACCTATGGTTTTTTACAGTAGTCAAGAATACCATTTCTCATACTCTCCAAACAGCAATCAGGGATTTATTTTTCCAGACTCAGATTATTATGTCCGTATTTCATGTTCATACATCATGACATGTGCATACATTACATACAACATAATCTCGGTTATTTTGAGAACCTCATCACAATGCATCTCATGCATCGCACATAACTAACCCTGTATTTCTTTTAGGAAAGACAATTATTATCAACAATTTCCAGCAGGTCCATTATCAACACTCGAAGCTAAACAGAGTAATCATCGGCGCGACAAATGCAATCTTATGCAGCCCTACCATTCATGCTTTCACATCGAAGTAACCCTACCATCCAGGTTCCTTCTCAAGCCCTACTATCCAGGCTTTCATATCGAAGTAACCCTGCTATCCAGGTTCCTTCTTGCAGCCCTACTATCCAGGCTTTCATATTGAAGTATCGGGTTTGGAGTTTGAGCAGCTTTCAGTGAGTTCCAATGATTGGGTTAGCTTCCTCAAGTTCCCAGGAAGCTAATGGGATGCTTAGCTTGAGCTGAAAGTTCCTGAGGAGTTCTGGAGAAGTCCAAGTGCAAAGCTCTGTTTTTGAAAATGGTGGATGATGATGGAGGTGTTACAGTGGTGCTGCAGGTGTTGGAATTGTTTGTGTATGTTGTTTAGAAGCTTCTGAGAGTAAAAGGCCAAGAAACACACGAGTAGATTTGAAGATTGGCTTCAAAAACTTAGAAATGACAAGTTTTGAAGTGTTTTTAGTGATTCTGTGTTCTAGGTATTTTTAGGGCTTAAGAATGCGTGTCATTTGTGGCAAATGGTTTGTGTATGTATGATCCACTGTCGCGCGGGTCAAAAACGAGTTAAATTGCAAAACTGTAGTAACGACGGTAACGGTAACTCGTGTATCGTCTCTCAAGGACTCTTGAGTTTTACTAACTAAAAACGAAATTGGGGGGGTTTGGTTTGGTCGAAAAAATGATTATCAAAAGTGATTATGAAAATAAGCTGTTTTAAAAAAGTGATTATGAAAAATAAGTCAATCTACCGATTCAGTTCCTACCAATCATCGATTATTAAAATCTCACTATCCTAAGCGGATTCCTTTCCCGTTCGATTACAATATAATCAACAAGCGCAACAATATTATACGAATTATATTTTCCGTTTGTCGAATTAAGCATTCGGTTAAGCGATAAACGGTTTAACGATTAAGCATACGATAAACACGCAGATAAATTGAAAAACATAGATCAATCGAACCAAACAATATATATTACGAATATCAAATTAAGCAAAATATAAACAAAATATATAATTGAAGGAAAAGGAATTTTATTGCAAAACTTATAATAATCTCATAGTTTCGGAACCTGAATTCGGTAGATCAACCAAAAGTGATTAGTTCTCCATGGCCATTCGTACAAGCTTACAATCAAAATCGTGAATGGAAGATAGCTGCTACAGTGCCGCGGCTGCTACCCTAAGGGGAAAGAGTATAACCCGTTTTACAATCCAACTGGGTCAAACATACGACCCAGGCCCAAAACTAATTGACCCGAAACTTAACTAAAACTAGTGCTGCAACTTCAACGAATTTTCTGGCCCTTCTACAGTCCGATTCTGACTTCGACTCCAACAAAAGAATTGTAGCTCTTTCTCTTAGCTTTCCGTCGATTATTAGAACGCCTCAATCGGACTTCTGGAATTCCAGTTATGATCATTTCCGTGCAGACTGCTAAAGCTGAAAATTAAATACGAAAATCAAATAACAATAAAAATAAATTAAAATATAAAAACATTATAAAATACAAAAATAAGACAAGTAAACCATGGAAATGTATAAGTACAACCGTAGAGTAATGTGCATCAAAATGCACTGATCAAATTCCCCCACACTTGAACTTTTGCACTCCGAGCAAAATGAAAAACAAAACAAAGAAAGCACAAATACATCAACAGTTACTTATCCTAGGCTACAAATCTTCTTCGGGTAAGTTTGCATCAACATGTACTAATCTTGCACACTAAGGATATCGTAAGAACACTAACCACAGATATGCAGACATAAGCCTCCTAAATACACAAACCAATTTCAAATCATATTATTATACCATAGCCTAACTTACTCATCCTTTTTGCTCTTTTTCATTCAGGCGCAATCACATTAAGCCCGTTATCTCCACACACTTATAGCAGGATGACCAGTTAGTGACTCTGATCCTTTTGCACGGGGTTCCAGTACTTACGTGGCATAACCCTTTGTTTACTCAGATGTAGTTGCGGGGGATCGGACCGTAATCCTCCCTACCAAGTTCAGAACCAGAAACCGCTGAACCAACTAACAAAGAGTTTTGAAAACTTTTTTTTTTTGAAGATTACACAACCGTTGGGTTAAGTGACCGGGTGAGGGTCACCAAACTTAGAAGGTGTATTCTCTTTTTCTTTTCTCTCTTTTTTTTTTCTTTTCGGAATATTCACTTATATTCATCGGTTTTCCTGCGTAAAGTGTGTGAGAGATGGTGCCGACTGCTGAAATAAACTACTCAAGAGCTGTCAAAGAATGAGAAATTAAGGCTAAAACATAATAACAAATTCAAATCAATTTCCATATGTAGGAGACTTACGGTGTTAGAACGATACCGATCTTGTGAATTTTTCCCACGTCTCCGCAAACCCGACTCAAATCAGTCTATAGCCTAAAACTTTCAAGAAGATGCATTTTTTATTGGTTGAAATTAAAAAAAACTAACAAACAAAAACAAATAAAACACACGATTTCCCCCCCCACACTTAAACTAAGCATTGCCCTCAATGAAAGGACATTACTAATCACTACAAGAAAATTGGCAGATTACGACAGGTATTTTTGTAGATTACGACGGTTAAAACCGTCGCAATTTGCTTTCCACGACGGTTGCTTTACCGTCGCAGAAGTGTGTGTCCCCAACCTATTTCGCGACGGTTACAAAAACTGTCGTTCATGTTTACGACGGGTTGATACTGTCGTGACTATCTTTTGAGTTTCTTTTAATTATTGATGGCGACGGTTCGATACTGTCGTGAATATCTTTTGAAATTGATTAAATTGTTTATGGCGACGGTTCGGTACTGTCGCCATGACTTTTGTTTATGTCTTGATTTTTTTTTATTTTTCTATTATATATATTTTTTATTTAAATTATTATCTATGTAAAAAATTTTAAATATAGTTTTTTTTTGTGTTCTTTTTTTCTTTAAATTATTTCTTCTTTAATATATTTATTTATAGTATTATTTTTTGTTTTATTTTCTATCACTTTGTAATATAGTAAAAATAATTTCAATAAAAAATATTTAACATCAATACAAAAATATTCTTATAAAAGAAGCCAAAAAGGGGTATAAAAGGTGTTGTATAAGAATAGAAATCAAGAGCCAAAAATATTCTTATAAAAGAAGCCAAAAATATTCTTACCATGTCAATGCATGTGTAAATTCTTGCAACTTATATACCATACAAATCAAGGTCTCATTCTAACAATACACAAACGTGTAATTAGTTAGGAAAATGAAGGCTGAACATTAAAATTTTCAATATTCTAGCCTCAAACCTCATAACCAGGATTTACTTTTTGTTGTACATCTCCATAACTTTCCAACTCTTCCATGTCTTCCAAACTCCCCAAAAAGAGAGGAAGTCTTTGGTGAAGTTTAACTGGTTGAAGTGAAAGAATCCTACTTTTCCAATCGGACCCTGTTCCACCAGCTTGCTCCACAATGAAACTAAGAGGGTTTGCTTCATAAACAAGTCGAAGATGGTCCCTCGGATTCATAGCCACTCCCCCATACAACAAAGTTCGGTGGAGATCCGCCACCAGCGAACATATATACCTTGCAGAGTACTTCTTAGGATATCTACCTTTTCCTTGTCTCACGGTATCTATATATTTCCTTAAACCTTCAGGCCAATCAAAATATCTTGCATCATTCACAGAATATATTTGCCCTGTGTGACAAAACAAGAGAGCAATCAACAACATAAATTTAGTAACGGATTGAATTGACTTATTTGATCTTATCTACTGACATAAACACTTGTGAGATGAAAATGTTACCGCGAGGAGGAATTTTAATGTTTGGATTTGTGAGAATGAAGTCTCCCGTTGAGCGGTCGAGCGTGAATGCATGTGTACCAGAGCCAAAGGTGATGCAGAGTATAGTTGCAGATGAATATAGAACATAGCCAGCAGCTATCAGCCTATTCCCAGTTTGGAGTGAATTCAGCAAAGCCTTCTCTTCTGTAGGTAGATTATCTAGCTCCTCAATTGGTCTTGTCAAAAAAGGGTACAATAGCAATCATATTCCTATAAGATCGTGTATGTTCTGTTCTCTCCAACAACAAAATAGGTTCACAAAGGCGTTTCTAGTGAATAGTAATCAAGAGACATCATATTCCTATCTATAATACACTATGACAATGTAGTAAGCTAGTCGTTACACTGTAATTAGATATAACTTATCCATGCCTTCGAATACACATGACTTTGCCATGCCAAAGACTTGATTTGACATTTTTAATTAACAATCAACTAATAGATAGCAACCTATACATAAACTATTCAACAGAAAAACTTCAAAACAAATAGAGGAACTAAACTGAACTCATTGGACACCTAACTAAATAATTCACTTACCTCACAAAGTAGGGATATACCCAGCAAGATTATAAACACTCAGTGACAAAGATCAAATGGAATTAAACACTCAGTCACAAGATTATGAACACTCAGAACCTATAACCTTGTTAACACAGACCTGTCATTCAGGTTTACTGCTCAAGTTTGAATTCCAACTCAAATCATTTCTCTGCTCCCTTAATCAATCTATGCAAAACTATTTATCAGAATTTAGAATTTAGAAGACATCATATACCTGTACATACTCTTCCAGACTTCCAGGTAAACTGTAATGAATTACCTAAACACAGTTATGACAATGGAGTTTCAATAAGAATTATTGTAACACACAAGACCATTCACATTTCAAAGCAAATGAGGTAGTGTGAAAAACAAAGATAAAAGTGACTACAGATTGCAGAGTGGTTCTAAGAAAAACAGCCTTACGTAAAATGTGGCTATCAGAACATTTGCATTAACAGAGACGAAGTAAAGAGCTCAGTTCTCCATTACCATTTACCCCCATTTTGCAATTTGAAATTTCTAACAATAAATAACTTTTGAGAAAAAACTCGATTGTTTCTGATACAGCTAGATAACAAAGGTCTAAAACATAGACACAGAGAAAGCGGGTCACCTTGCAACAAGAGCACAATGAGAAAAGTGGGTCATCATGCAAACTAATGCAAAAATAAAATATAATATAAGACTTACTGCTCCAACATCTCTTTTATCTAGTCCCATACCAAATGCCACAGTTGCAACAACCTTCATAAAAAAAATTGCAAGGTATGAGTTGGACTAGCAATGTTGTATTAGAAGCATTGCACCATAAAATTGATAAATTGAGTGATTAAAATGTTGATAAAATGTTGTAGAACCCTTAGGGTGATGATAAACAACACCAGTGTGAATGCTGGAGCTGCAATAGGCTTTGCCTAACATCTTTCCTCTGAGCAAAAGCAACATACAGTGGTTTTCCGTGAAACATGCGTCCTGTGGCATATAACATCAATTTAAATAATCAATAAGTAACATTTATGTAGAAAAACAAAAACCTTCCAGTGAATTGTTTCTACCAATCATCATAAGGCAAAGCGAACAACTCCATATTGATAATTACTAAATGCTCTATTTTCTACATTATCTACTTCATGCTTTGAACTTTACAGCATTTTAAGGAAGTAATTAAAAAAATGCATCCTCCAATATTAAATCTACCTAAAGCAATGTAATTTACCTGCACAGACCTGCCACCATCAAGGCACCCCACTGGAAGCATGTTAAAAGCTTGGATGGTTTAACCATGCCTGCATAATTGAAAGCGACAACAGAGTTTCTTTCAGCCACGAAACACAAAATAAAAAGCAATCAATATTTTATTTGTTTATGTTTCTAAATTGCATATCTGCCTAAGGATATTACAAACAATATAACTTCCTATTCCACATAGAGTAAATCATATCATGTATTTGGTGTTTAACCATTACTGATAATTTGGCACAAATCATATAACTTCAATTCAAACTCAAACCTAATCAACTCTATTCAAGACTATGTTTGCGAAACACTCATCCATAATAACAATTCAGTCATTATCTTCAAAAAAATAGAAACTAACCGTGCAGCGCATCACCCTAATCAGCATGATCAAGTGTACAAGACAAAATATCAGGTTGTGATGATAACTTTGAAGCTCTAAAATGCATGTAAGTCATGTTTATAGACAAGTAATTAGAAATTGAGTATGATACTAATATAACTTCAATATTAGATTTTGAAATAAAGTTGAAGTCGAATCGTGCAGGTAATACTTGAGTTTGATCTTGTTAGGAGATTTGGGGGCAAAAATGGTTCCAATGCCAAGATTTAGTATATGACCAGATATGATATTTCTATCATGAATATTATTTAACTCTATCAGATCTTCCTTTTCACTTGTGTGGTACGGTATGCCAAGCTCTACAAGTACTTCATAATCATCTTCACTGTGTCAAAATATCTACTAATCAAACAAATTGCAGACATCAGATCTGCTTGTTGAGTCCAATCATTTATTCTGTCCTTTGGGAGACTGCACCCTCGGACAATTGGACTCTAACTGAGATTGACAGCAGGAGACTGTCCACAACATATGCGATTGCCAAAGTCAGGCTAGTGAACTGAAGAATGGAAAAAACATCCAAGTTGAACTTTGGTAACGGAACTGCATAAGCCTTCTATGACCACTAAGATTGAAAATAAGGCAAGTGGGCTAGCATCTAGAATGGGAAAAATACTAACTATTAACAAGATTGATTAGTATTGTAAGAAAATTTGTGAATTTGTATTCTCTGAAATTAGAGCAACGCAACTACATTAGGTAATGCAATGGTACTAAATAACTCAGAGACTAAAATTGTGCACCTGTAATTTGATAAGGAAGCTGCTTGCGATTCTCTTTGTTGATTTGCACAAACTGACTCTTTAGTTCTTCGTCACTAACACTATCATCAATGTTCTTCACATAAATGTTTGATCCCTGAAAGTTAAAATGGTGGCAAACTAAGAAAGCTGAAATTAATTAGTCAACTATAGGAAAAAGGGTATGGAATTACCTTGTATGGCGGCAAAGAAGGCAAATGGAATCATCATTTCCCATCCATTCATAGTCATACTGCAAAACCAATTCCATAAGCAGATCCTGGGTTCCAACTCAACCATGAGGATGCAATAGTATAATGTGTATTCTAACCACAAGTACACAAACAACAATGTAACTGCAGCAGATCCTGGAACTCTAACCACAAGTTCACAACAATCCACCTTACCTTTTTGCCTCCTACCATTTTTTATCTACTTACAAGTTACAACAACAGGTTAATAACCATATCAGGTTTTGGGAGGGTCCATATGCATTCAAATAACTTTTCCTTTCATAAATTAGGTACTGTCATATTGATATCACCACTGAGTAGTATTTGGTACTATCATTAATTAAATCATATATAACCATGACTACTCCAATAGGTTGTTGTTTCTTGTCATAACTTATCATACCAAACACTCCTAACTAATTTGACACATATCCAAAAATTAGTTTTGCTTCTGTAAGGATGGTTCAACCATAATTTGACTTCTAGCATAAGCAATTTCTTAACATTGTTATAATAGAGACAAGGTATGTAACTTAAGAAACCTCTTCTACTTCTAGTCTTCTCAAGATTGTTTGGCTAATTTGAAAGGTCCAAACATAATCTCAACATTCCAACCTGGTCAAGTCTTGTTTACTCAGCTGCCTAATTTGACTTAAATAGCAAGACTCATATACATACAAAGAAGATTAACTGTATTGGTAAAAAATTGACTCAACTTCCGCTAGTCGCTATGTTGCTGGTAGGTAATATGTAAGTACCTTTACTTTATCCCGGTGAATATGCGGTGGGTAATATGTAAGTACATCTCTCAACGCTCTTTAAGACTTGAGATATGAGATCTGACTTGATCCTGATGAATCTGTGGGACCTAACTCATCTAACAAAATTTATACCCAAAAAAGAAGAAAGTAATACTCATAGTACACTTCACCAAGTTAACATATTTTCAGTCCACTTTTTCATGTTCCAAGTTAAGAATTTTTCTTCTTAAAAAAATAAAATAGGAACAAGTTTGCAGAATGAGTCAGAAAACATTGAAGAACAACCAGTGAGAAGTGCATATCTATCTATAGAAATACAAGACAAATCATAAATCAGTAAAATTAATGAATCTAGAAAACATGGATTTACCATAATGAGAAACCAGATTAGCATGTAAACAACATTTTCAAGTTTGATTTCAACTATGTAATTTCATTCCTAAACTATGTCACAAAAACAAAAAACAGATAAAATTAAGACACTTTACCAAATCACACCAACCAGCTATAGCATGATTTACAAACTCTATCTACCAATATCTTCTAAAATCTCATCAAAATCAAAACCAACAACTGAACGAACAACACCAAATCATTCACTGTTCCTTCTAACCAACACAAAATACCCCAAAACAGCACAAACAGCAGCAACAACATTCCCTTCTGTCAACAAAATCTTAACAACAATTCTCTAAGCAGCAGTATCCTGTAATACCAATTCTCTAAACAAAGCATCACCCCTGAAGCTAATGACAGTTTGAAGAATTCCCAAAGGCCAGAAAATGCTTCCATTGAAAAACCATTCCAAGTCAAAGGACAACCCCCACAAACTGTGTACCCAAACATCTCAATTACCAATACCCACCATGAAACATCCAAAGCTATTGCAGCACCAATAAGCCCAAAATCCCAAACATAAACCAACAACCAACTCAATACAACATTCACCACTAAACCCAAAAGAGAAACCCATGCAATCACACCTGTTTTCAGCTGGCACTGTAGAAACCTCTGAAGAGGAAACTGAAACGCAAAACTGAAATGCAAAGGTATAAGCCATATAGCTACGATACCACTCGATTCCGCCACCTCATGAGGTTGTCCTATGAGTTTCAGAAATGGAGTAGCAAACACATAAATTCATAAAATTCATATCTACACCACAAATTCATAAAATTTACATGCATTTCAAAAAAATATAAACAATTTCTGATACTAAAATACACGAAAATACCGTCTTCTTCGAGGTCACTGCCGGAATCGTTGGGGTCATCGGAGACAGAAGGAGGAGCTCGAAGAGAATCAGTGAGGGAGTTAGGGTCATTGACGACGCCGAAGGAATTGTAGTTTTGTGTGACGCTGCCTTTTTCATCCCATTTAGGGTCTTCTACAAGGGATTGTAACAGTTTGGGAGGAATGGTGAAAGCGGGTTTCAAAACTTTAGGGTTCTTCTTTGGAAGACCCACACGAACCTTAGGTCGAGAATTCTTGTATTTTCTTCGTGAGTAGAAAAAGTGAATGCAGGAGTAGAAAGTGAATTGATGTTTTATGTATTGTAAGAGCTTTTTAACTTTTTTACGGCGACGGGTGTTTTACCGTCGTGCCCATGAGAATTTTTAAAGGTTTTGAGTGCGACGGTTGTTTTACCGTCTTGAAATGAATTTTAGGACGGATAATTTTACCGTCGTGAAAGGTTTAAGGGTGCGACGGGTGCTTTACCGTCGTGATATGCCTTTTAGGACGGTTAATTTTACCGTCGTGACTAGTTGTTGGTGAAAAATCAATGTTAAAAGTGTTAAATGGGGGCCGACGGTTGTTTTACCGTCGTAATAATAATATTATGATGGTTATTATACCATCGCAAAATAAATATTAGGGACGGTTGGTGTCAACTGTCGTAAACACTGTCTCTATATGACAATTACGACAGTTATCACATAACTGTCGCAATTTTTGTGTCGTTAAACACTAATTTTCTTGTAGTGAATAAAGTAGAGAGAAGGAAAGAAGGAATCCCTGATCAAGTTGCAGTGTAGTTAGGTGCTTCCAAAGAAAGTTCCTCTATGCTGACATTTTCAGGCACCGAACTTTCATGGAATAACTTCAGCCGCTGCCCGTTAACCTTGAAGATTTTGTTAGTACCTGCACTTTTTATTTCTACTGCACCATGAGGGAAAACATTAGTAACAACAAAGGGGCCAATCCATTTGGATCGAAGTTTCCCAACCATAAGCTTAAGGCGGGAGTTAAACAGTAAAACCTATTGGCCCACAGAAAATTCCTTCCTAGAAATCATTTTATCATGGAAGTGCTTAGTTTTCTCTTTATAAATCCTAGAGCTCTCATAAGCCTCTAATCTAAGCTCTTCCAACTGTTGTAATTGGAGTTTTCTTTCAATACCTGCTTGTTGCATCTCAAGCACGGTGTTCTATCTCAACAGGAAGATGACATGCCTTACCAAAAACAAGTCGATAAGGAGACATCCCAATGGGTGTCTTGAAAGCTGTCCTTTGAGCCCAAAGTGCGTCTTCTAGACGACGGCTCCAATCTTTCCTGTTTGGCTGCACCATTTTCTCTAAAACCTGTTTGATCTCCCTGTTTGAGATCTCAGCTTGCCTATTAGTCTGTGGGTGATATGAAGTAGAGACTCTGTGCACAACTCCATACTTTCAGAGTAAAGCTTCCATGGTGCGGTTACAAAAATGAGTGCCTTGGTCATTTTTGATGGCTCGCGGTATTCCAAACCTGCAAAAGATATTAGACCTGACAAAATCTGCAACAACTCGAGAATCATTAGTCCTAGTGGGGATAGCTTCTACCCACTTTGAAACATAATCAACAGCAAGTAAAATGTAAAGGAAACCAAATGATACAGGAAAAGGACCCATGAAATCGATTCCCCATACATCAAATACCTCACAGAAAAGCATCGGCTGCTGAGGCATTTCACTCTTGCGAGTGATGTTTGTACCTGCTATCTGGCACTCTTTACAAGTGCGGTAAGTCTCAAAAGCATCCTTAAAAATAGTTGGCCAATAGAAACCTGAATCAAGGACTTTTCTCGAAGTCCTTTGAGGACCGAAGTGTCCGCCGACTTGAGATGCATGAGAAAATTTCAAAATAGATTCAATCTCATTGTCGGGGACACATCTCCTGATTACCTGATCACTACCAAACTTCCATAGATATGGATCATCCCAAACATAATACTTGGCATCACTCTTGAGTTTGTGAACCTGTGCTCTCGATGCACCTGTGGGAAAAACACCAGCAACAAGAAAATTAACGATGTCAGCAAACCAAGGTGTAATCTCGTGCAAAAAAACAACTGCTCATCAGGAAAGTCATCCTGAATAGGAAAAGGGTCTTCATCTCTCTCTATCCTTCTTAAGTGGCCAGCCACTAGGTTCTCAGCTCCACTTTTGTCTTTAATCTCGACATTAAACTCCTAGAGCAACAACATCCACTTAATCAATCTCGGTTTTGCATCCGGCTTCTTCAGCAAGTACTTTAAAGCTGTATGGTCAGTAAAAACAACAACCTTGGAACCTAACAAATAAGATCTGAATTTGTCAAGAGCAAAAACAATAGCTAGCAGTTCTTTTTCAGTGGTAGTGTAATTTGACTGTGCAGAATCTAAAGTCCTAGAAGCATAGTAAATAACATGGGCAGCCTTGTCAACTCTTTGTGCAAGGACAGCCCCAACAGCATAATTCGAAGCATCACACATAAGCTCAAAAGGAAGTGTCCAGTCAGGGGGCTGAATGATGGGAGCAGAGGTCAATGCTTTCTTCAAGAATTCAAACGCTTGTTTGCATTTGTCATCAAAATCGAAAGTGACGTCATTCTTCAACAAGTTCGACAGCGGAAGAGCTATCTTGCTGAAATCCTTGATGAAACGCCTGTAAAAACCTGCATGACCAAGAAAAGAACGAATCTCGCGAATGCAAGAAGGGTAAGGAAGTGTAGAAATCACATCAATCTTAGCAGGGTCAACAGAAATTCCTTTTTCAGAAATAATGTGACCAAGGACAATTCCCTGCTCAACCATAAAATGACACTTTTCATAATTCAACACAAGGTTAGTCTCGATGCATCTTTCTAAAATCAAGCTTAAACTGTTCAAGCATGCATCAAAAGAAGAACCATAGACAGTAAAGTCATCCATAAACACTTCCATGCAATTTTCAATAAAATTAGAGAAAATACTCATCATGCACCGTTGGAAAGTGCCAGGAGCATTGCAAAGGCCAAAAGGCATCTTCCTGTAAGCAAATGTACCGAATGGGCACGTGAAAGTGGTTTTTTCTTGATCTTCAGGTGCAATATGAATCTGAAAGTAACCTGAAAAACCATCAAGAAAACAATAATGTGATTTACCAGCTAGCCGTTCAAGCATCTGGTCAATGAACGGCAAAGGAAAGTGATCCTTTCTAGTAGCCTGGTTCAGTCTCCTGTAATCAATACAAACTCTCCAGCTGTTCTGGACTCTAGTGGGAACAAGTTCATTCTTTTCATTTTTTACCACTGTGAGTCCAGATTTCTTAGGTACAACCTACACTGGACTTACCCACTTACTGTCAAAGATAGGATAAATGATACCTGCTTGCAAGAGTTTGGTTACCTCTTTCTTTACAACATCAAGAATCAAAGGATTAAGCCTCCTTTGGGGCTGCCTTACTATTTTCGCTCCATCCTCAAGTAAAATCCTATGCATGCACATCGAAGGACTAATACCTGGAAGGTCGGCTAATGTCCACCCGATTGCTTTCTTGTGCCTCTTCAATACCTGCAAAAGTCTGTCTTCTTGATTGAAATCAAGGTTAGAAGAGATAATAACAGGAAGTTTTTCATTATGCTCCAAGTAAGCATATTTCAGGTTCCCAGGGAGCTCTTTTAGCTCTAAGGACGGGGGCTGCTCAATGGATGGAATGCTTGGGGCAGCCGGGATGTCAAGAGCATCGACGACAAAAACAGCCTCATCGGTAACAACTTCACCTGTAGGAAATGTATCAGGCTGCAAGGAAGCATCAATCTCAGCATAAAGAACACAAACGTTAGTGTCAGTGCAATCAGGACATGAATAAGTATCATCAAAATCAGAGAGAGATGGAAAATCAAGTGCAAATAATTCAGAACAACTATCATCAACTAGTTCAGAAATCAACTCAATGTGAAAAACGGAATGCTCCTCCAAGGGATGTTTCATGGCGTCAAAAATGTTGAATTTTGCGACAATGTCACCAAATTCCATGGACATGGTTCCATCGTCAACATCAATCTTTGTTTTTGCCGTTTTCATGAACGGTCTGCCTAAAATTATGGGAGCTCTGGTTGTCTTGGTTTTGCCTTCCATGTCTAGAATATAAAAATCTGCAGGAAAAATCAAATCGTTAACTTGAACAAGGACATCTTCGACAACCCCGGCGGGTCGAGCGTTGCTCCTGTTTGCCAATTGAATGATTAAACTTGTATGCTGCAAAGGGCCAAGACAAAGGTTATTATAAATAGAAGTAGGCATAACATTAATGCCCGCTCCCAAATCAAGCATGCAATTCTCAAATTTACTATCCCCGATGGTACAAGGAATAGCAAATGTTCCCGGATCCTTCTGCTTTTGTGGCAGCACCTGAGTAGTGAGGGCTGAAACATTTTTCTAACTTACAGCCTTGTCAGATGATTGTTTGGGCTGAATAAAGGCAGAAATATTTCGTCCTAAGTTCACTCTTTCACTTCCCTTAATCCTCCTCTTGTTAGTACACAAATCTTTCAGAAACTTTGCATACTTAGGAACCTGTTTTATAACATCAAGTAGCGGAATATTTACCGCCACCTTTCGAAACACATCCAAAATCTCTCTTTCTTTGTCTCCCTCCTCAATTATTTTATTTTTAAGAACTCTATGTGGGAAGGGGACTGGTGGCACATACTCCTTTTCTCTAATTTTTTCAGTTTCGACCATAACAGAAGAAGGAGAAGAAAGTGCAGCAGGGGAAGGTTCAGATGGAGAAAGTTCAGAAGTTACCTCAATGACTTTTTTATTTTTTTTCAGGGGCTGGTTCTGTAACTTTTTCGGATCTCAAAGAAATAACGCTCACATTAGCATTACCATTCGGATTGACAACAGTTTGTGCTGGAAGTTGGTTCGAACCTTGAGCTTGCATATTATTTATTTGAGTAGCAAGTTGTCCCATCTGTATGGTCAAGGTCTGAATGCTAGTGTCGGTTCTTTGTTGGAACTGAAGGTTGTTCACGGCCATTTGTTTAACAAGATCTTCCAAGGATGGTCCGGACGTAGTAGCTGGAGGGGTGTGATGTGGATGGGGTAGTGGAACAGTGAGTTGTTATTGTGAGGGCTGCTGATTTCCATATCGAAGGTTGGGATGATTCCTCCAATTGGGGTGATATTTGTTGGTGGACAAGTCAGGGGTGTTGTTGTACCTGTTCTGGTTGTAAAGGTTGGCTGCATAAGCTTGAGGCAACTCGGTAACAGTATCATCTTTCATAAGAGGACAAGTATCAGTGGGATGATCATGAGCTGTACAAATGCCACATACAATTGTTGTTTGAGGTTTCGCTACTGCAAGTTATTTGACTAAAGCGGTCAGCTCATCAATTCTGGTTTCTAAAGCTCTATTCGAGGAACCTTGAATTTGATGTACACCCTTGGTCTGGACAGAATTGGTTCGAGTGGTGAACTGCTGGGAATTTAAGGACATATTTTCAATGAGGGCCCTGGCAGCAGTTGGAGTTTTGTCAACAAGTGCTCCACCACTAGCAGCATCAAGAATGTTTCTATCCATAGGTAACAACCCCTCATAAAAGTACTGAATGAGAAGTTGCTCGGTAATCTGATGTTGAGGGCAGCTTGAAACTAACTTCTTAAACCTATCCCAGTACTCAGCCAATGACTCGTTATCTTGTCTAATGCCACAAATCTCTTTTCGGATTGAAGCAGCTCTAGAGGCAGGAAAATATCTCTCCAAGAACACTTTTTTCAGAGCATTCCAGCTTGTGATTGAATTCGGTTCGAGATCATATATCCAATCCTTCACTGCACCCTGCAAAGAAAAAGGAAAAGCACGAAGTTTGATATGATCTTCAGTGATCCCTTCAGGCTTCAATGGTGTAGAGCACACCACCTGGAATTCCTTCAAATGTTTGTGCGGATCCTCACCTACAAGACCATTAAACTTTGGCAACAAGTGTATTAAACCCGATTTTAATTCAAAAGGAACAGCAACAGCACCATATTCAATACACAAGCCATTATAATTCACATCAGGGGCTGCAAGTTGTCTTAGAGTTCTATTGTCAGCCATTTCAAAAGCAAATTCAGAATCAGAAGCAAACAAGTTATGCAAACAGTCGGACTCAGAATCAGACTCAACTATGGTCGGTGAAGGTGAACTATTGCTAGCCTGGCCTGCTCTACGAAGTGTGTGCAAGGTTCTTTCTACCTCAGGATCAAAAGCAACAAGTTCAGGACAAGAAGATCTAGTAGCCAGGACTAGTGCACAGCAATGCAACAACAATCGTGAAAATGCCAACTATGTCCCTAAAACAAACAAAATGAAGCAAATCGATTAAAAACAATTCAAAAAAATAAACTGACACCGAAAATAATCAAATGACGTAAAAATAGAATTTTGATAGTTTTTTTGGATTTTTTTGACTCTATGAAAACAGAAAATAAATCTTTAAAAATAGTAAAAAGGCTTTTTTCGCGATTCGAAAAATTTGTCACATAACTACTTTGTAGTAAGTGACTTTTGATCAGGGAATTTTTTCACACCTAACTGTCGGGACATATTTTCAAAACGGTGCAATTTTTCTGAAAACCGACTTTTCGACTCAAAAGGCGTTATGGCCGAAACCGCGAGGAACCTATGGCCAAAACGCACAAACACTACACTTAAGACTCTAATATCAGTTAATATTCACAAGAGTCCCCGGCAACGGCGCCAATTTGATCCACTTTCGCGCGCGGGTCAAAAACGAGTTAAATTGCAAAATTGTAGTAACGACGGTAACGGTAACTCGTGTATCGTCTCTCAAGGACTCTTGGGTTTTACTAACTAAAAACGAAATTGGGGGGGGTTTGGT